AGATGCCCCCCCTTCCCCCCCCCCCCACCACCACCACCACCTCTCCACTCGTCTACATTGCATTGGAGTCGCAGATTGTTAGGTTTCCAGCATGTTTAAAGTAAATCTCAGGATTAGAAAGTGCAGGTCCCCCTTTATGCCTCTAAGCTGCAGGAAGCCTCTCACGCCACAGCTGCTCTGTTCTAGTAGCCGCTGCGCCCTGCAGTGGGGAGTTTGTCATCCTGTGATGCCTCGCTCTCCAGGCATCACCCCTCCGTGCACACAGCACAACTCCCTGCGTGGACCGCTCTGTTTCTCCCCGATCTTTTCTGAATACCAGAACAGCTGCACAGCCACCTTGAATGGCGGTTAAAGTTATTTTTGTAAGAAGGAAAAAAGGGAAGGGGAGAAATAAATAAATCGTCATTTATATTTCTATGTAAATGACAATTTAAATAAAATTAGAGATGAATAGATGTGCAATGACTTAAATGTTCTATTTACAAATAAAACACTGATTTTTTTTTAAAGCAAAACTGTCCAAACTGTCTGTCTTTCTCACTGTCTGACTTTAAATTAGGTTAAACCTTTTTTGTTTTAAGTCAGAAACATAATTTCAATCTCAAATTCCACAGTAACAAAAGATTCAAACTGAACTATTTGGACACGATGACCATACACCCCTACTACTTCAAAATCCAAATGTGAACAAGGGGCATCATGGTTGGAAGTCTGGTTGGTCTGCAGGAGGAAGTGGTGCATTTCACAAAATAGACGACGTCACGGGGGGGAAGAAAGTTTTTGTGGAAAAGTTAAATCAAGATATCAACGTTAGCCTACATCAACCAGTTTGTATTTATGCAAGAATAAAATAGCAGAGCGAGTTATGCTACAGAATCTCGTAAAGATATCCACGAACGTCTCCGTCTTATGTCACGTCACAGCCTTAAATTTCTGTTTTCAATTAATTTTACTGGAAATTTATGTGACCAACTCAAAGTTGTATTTTATTTTGTAGTGGGAAAGAAATCCATCCAAGGATTTAAAAAAAATAATAATAATACAAATGAAAACTTGAACATTGTCCAATGCATTTGATTCAGCCCCACTGAACCAAGCATTTTTTCTGCAGCTTTCGAGGAATATCTGTACCAGGTACATTTTAAAAGAGAACAAAACGTCTTGACAGGTTTGAAGTTTACCAAACTCCCCCAATTTGCCAATGATGGACTGAACAAAATTCACTAAAATATTCTAGGATTAGGAATTTGTTTCATAACTCAGTCCTGCTATAAACTTCTCCACAACTTCTTCCCCGTTCTGTCTGTGTGTTTTAAGATCTTCACAATGTTGTATGTTCACTTAATTGTCTTTTATCTAATTTATTGTATCTGGTTTGTAAAACCATGCATCCCTTTCATCCGATTTCACAATCATGCACTACTCTGTATCGGTCAGTCACATAACACGTGAAAAGGTTCAGGAGGTGTTAAAATAATACATTTGCTCATAACAATGTAACAGATTCTCAGAAATTCCAAACTGTGCTTTTGACAGTCACAAAGTCTGTGCACATTAACCTTTTGATCATATTATAATAAATATAAAAAATATCAGTAAGCGCAAACACCTCATATAAACTGTACAGCAGCAGTTTACAGTTTACAAAGAAATATG